ACACCGACCCGACAAGCCGAGCGGACAATGCGGCCTCTGCTGCTTCGCCTACGACGAGCCGACGCCGACGGCGATGCTGACGGCGACGGCGACGGCGACGGCGACGCCAACGGCGACGGCGAAAACGACGCCAAAGACGAAGACGACGCCAAAGACGAAGACGACGCCAAAGGCGAAGACGACGCCGACGGCGACGGCGACGGCGACGGCGGCGGAGATGACGACGGCGACGGCGACGGCGATGGCGACGGCGAGGGCCGAGTGGGAGCGGCTTGAGTGTGAGGCGCCCGAGTCGCCCAGTCTGGGACTGGCCAGTTTGGATGAGCACATCGACGCGGTCCATCTGCCCGGCCATCTGCTCAACGTGGCTCGACGGTTGTGCGTCGAGTCGAGCGAACGGACGACGTACACGTGTCCGTTGTGCGGGTTCAAGGGGGCCACGACGAATGTCGACTTTCACCTGCACGTCTTGGGCGCACACGGCCAGGACGAGTCGGTGAAACGGGAGTTGGGCATGTGTGCGTTTTGTCGACGTGTGTGTCGCGACGAGACGACGCTGCAATTGCATGTACAGACGGAGCACGGTCACCGGTTGCGTCGACTTGCGCGACTTTGGCTGCGTCGCGAGGTGATGATGAACGCCGCGGACGCCGGCGACGTGTGCGCCACGTGTTGGCGCCACTTCAGACGCGACTATCAACTGCAGGCGCATGTGATCGTGGCACACGCGGGTCGAGATCCGCTGCGCTGCGGTTGGTGCCAACGCGACTTCAACGCCTGCCCCGATCAGCTGTTCGCGTATCAGGTGCTGTTGAAGCACGAGTTCAATCATGCTCGAGAGTTGCATCAACACGCGCTGGCGCTCGGCTTGACGGTCGATCCGGTGCCGGAGCCGGTGTGCGATGAGCTGAACCCGGAGTTGCAGGAGCTGCAGACGGCGGCGGCTCTGGCGGCAAAGTCGGCCGAGGCCGAGGCGAAAGGGAAGAAGAAGAGCCCCAACAAAAAGGGCAAAGGATCGCCGAGTGGAAAGTCGTCGCCGAGCGGAAAGTCGTCGCCGAAAAAGGGGAAAAAATAGCCGAATC